CGAGACGGCCTGCTAACGGGGAATCGTGAGATGTGGAAATGGTGTGGAGAAGGAAATCTAGGGTTTTCAGGGGTTTTAGTTTACGAGAGGGGCGGCTGAGGAGGGGGGGAAGGTTACGGAAAGGAAGCGTTGTTTGAATTCAAATTTTGTGCTCATCTGACCGTCACTTGACAAGTTGACATAAAGTATCAGTCCTTTCCTCTTTCAAAACCATTGGGTCCTCTTCTTTTTTCTTTTTTTTTTTGTTTTTTTTTTGTAAATTTCACAAAATAATTTTATCTTTATCTAAAATTTTCATGAATACATTTTACTTTTTTAATTGAATGTATTTGTGATAGAATGTAAATATTTTGTGATAATTTTGTGATTTTTTTAATTTCACGTATTTTAGACATGTCGGATAAAATGTAAATATTTTTTTATATACGTAAAATGTTAAGACGAAACTATTTTGTGAGACGAAAGTTAGAGCACTGGAAATACATTTGAAGCCTCGGAGCTTCAAAATTTCTCTCTCTGACACGTCAGCTTTAACTTACTTCACAATTTTCACTGGAAATGGTTATGAAGCCCCGGGGTTTCAAACCTTAATTTTATTAAATTTTTATTACCTATTTTAAAAATTAAATTAATAAAAATTTATTAATTAATTAAATTTAAACAACAATAATTCATTAAATGAAAATAATTAACTTCAATAAAGAAGAACATTTAATTAAAAAATTACATTAATTAAAAACTTAAAACAAATTATATTTAGCTTTGATCTCACTAGACTCGAACCCGTGCGTTGCACAGCGTAAAAAAAGTTACAATAATTAGAAAAATTATTCATGTTGGAATTCGATATGATTCAATTAAAATACGAATATAAAATGAAATATTAAAGGGGAGGAAGTATGCAATCATACAAATTGTGGAAGCATTACATTATACGTTTTGGAAATTTTCTTTATAAACTACATTGGTAGTTTGATTCATCTTGCTTTGGTCATCGTAGTCGGTTCCGGCTTGGGAAGTGGCATTGGCGGTGGGATCATTACTGGCATCGTAGGTAGTTCACGCTTTGGTAGTAGCGTAGGCGGTGGCATCGGTTCAGACGGCAATAGTGTTTTTGGCATCGTAGTCAATTCAGGCTTAGGAAGTAGCATAGGCGGTGGGAGCAGTACTGGCGGCAAAGGTAGAAGAGGCGGCGGTGGGGGTGGAAAACTCGCACAATGATCACAAACAAAATATATACCCCATCCAACATCTCCAATTCCTAGGCAATCAAGATGACCAAAAACATTTTTGCATACCCAACACATTTCCATATCAAGTGATTTTTCCATACTTTTGCACTTGTAGCATGGATCACCTAAACTTCCAATTCATCCTATATTGTTAGAAAAAAATTCCATTTATTAATATTAGACAAAAAAAAGTTTTAAAATATAAAATAGTTACAAATAATATTGACATAATAATACAACAAATATATAACAAAATCGGGCCAGGTTTTTAAAATAAAGCCTAAAATTTTTTTCAGCCCAGTCCTCCGTCAACCATGTATATTCGGCCCACACAAAAAACACTCTTTATTTAAAATTAGCCTAATATTGGACCGGCCCAACCCTTTCCCATTTTATCCCTAATCTCACCCGTGTAATCACTCGTTCCACTCATTCTCCGCCGCATCCCACGTCTCTCTGCATCTCTCTAAACTCTGTTGGGAATGGTTGCCGGCGGTGACGGTGGTTTATCCACCACTACACCCACTGGCGATTTGTAAATCGTGTTCCCTACTATTCTCTCTACCATTCAATGTTTTAGTTGATGGATACGCCGGCGAGTATATACACTGGACCTTCAACGACGGGAACGGAGATCACTGATGCGGTAATTTCGGTAAAATTCGTTTCTTACATGATGTGAATCTGTGCCTAACTATATACTCTCTATATTTAAAGATTATTATGAAAATTAACAGATCATTTTATCTTGCTTTGTAATTTGGAGCTGAATTTTATAGATCTCAATCCCACATGCAAAGGACTGTTAGAATTATTTTCTTAAAAAAATGCTAATTTTTTTGTGAAAAAATATTGGTATATTTCTATAAACCAATTTATATAGATTTTTTTAGACAGTAATCTAATGTTCATATTACTTCTCTGAAATTGTGAATCTATTTTAAAAAAACATAGATCCGTGATTTCATCTGAAATTGGTTATCTCTGATAGTGTGAATCTGTTTTAAAAAAGCATAGATCTGGATTTCATCTTTTACAGTTTAAAACTTTTAAAAATCTGCAAATTAGTATAATGTCTCTGGAATCAGATTAAAGTATTTAAAAAAGTATTTGTTTATTTGTAATTAATATAATAAGGTGATTTGAAAGAGTATTTTTCAATGACAGTTTGATTATCATTATAGAAAGATTTCCTAATCACGTGTTTTTAATTCATTTGAAAAATATACCATTAAGATCAATGTTTTTTATTGATAACAATTTAAATGCAGATTTTGAAACTTAGGCAATATGTTCAGTAATAATGTGAAAGTAGATTAAGGTTAAGTTGAATAAGGATCAATGTCGTGTGTGTGTGCAGATTTAAGAAATTATTTATTTAGTAATTGCCATTTCTGTACACTAATCTAATTCAATTAACACTTAAATTTTTTTTTTTGAAAAGAGAATCTTCTATATACAAACCTTAATATCCAAAAAAAAGTATTAATAGATATTAAATCTAAACAATTTAAGAAATTTATTTATCTGAAATTAAAAAGACATGTTTTATATGTAGTTATGAATGCTCAAGATCACCTTAAATGTAGTTGGTAAGTGGTTGAGAAATAAATGAAGAAAGAAGGAGAGTTAAAGAAGTGTAGTTGTACACCTTTATGGGTGGTTTCCCTCACTTGGAAAAAGCACAACCCTTAATTCCTCAAGCGGAAGCCTTAATTCCCCACTTGGAAAATCGCATGTACTACATGCAAAAGAGTCTTTTTTAGTTTTTTTAAAAAATGTCCAATCACAAGTTCAATTATCCACCCCTTCTCATTCCTATTCAATACTCCATCCGTCCGGAATTATTCTTTCTATTTGACTTTTTACGGTCTTCAAATTATTTGTCACATTTGCTTTTTTTAACAGTCGCGAAAACTTTTGTTTATTTCTAAGTTTTCATTGATTATTTGATAAAATAAAATATTCTTGACACCTCTTATTTCGAAAAACTTTTTATGTAGTTTTTTGATATGTAATTTTTATTTTTTATTTCTTTACCAATATGTAAATAAAATGAATTGAAAAAACTTAATATTTTGCCTCGGTAATAGAAATGTGACAAATAATTTGGGATGGAGGGAGTACAAAATACTTACTCCCTTTGTTCTTGAAAAGGGATTCCTAGTTTTACGTTACTAAATGTTAAAATAAAGAAGTGTCATTTCTCTAAATAGCACTTAAACAATTTTATTCTCTAAATAGCACTTAATAATATCCATAATGTTTAGTGATAGCGAACATTGACTTGAATAATGACTAAGAAATATTTGTACTAAATAGTATTCCCTCCGTCCCCCTAAGATGTTCTCATTTTGACTTTTGGTGGTTTTTAAAGAGAGTTGAAAAAAGGCGAAAGTTTATTATAATACTTTTAATGAAAAATGGATGGAGTCTATTAAATGAGGTGGGTGAGGTGTAATAAATAAAGTAAGTGGGTGTAGTGGTGGTATTTTAATTGTTAAAAAATAAAATGAGAAGATCTATTGTGGACAAAGAAAAAGGGCTATTGGAAAGATCTATGGGGGACGGAGGGAGTACTAAATAGTACTCCGTATTAAAACGTAGTATTAAAACCTTATTTAATTCCAATTTTGTTTGAAAGACTTTAGGGTAGTGCACAACGTTTTATTATTATTATTTTTGCAGTGCAAAAATGGATGACATGGAAAGAGAAAGAGAGATGGGGAGAAATAGTGCGCCCTAGAATAGAGACATGTTACATTTACAGAGTACTAATCGTTCTAGTCGGGTATGGAAACATAAGGAGTTTTGCGACATTTACAGAATAAATATAGTATAATCTTAATGTGTAAGCCTAAATATAGTCATCTGTAATCTTGTTTGATTCATCTTAACATATACGGAGTACATTATTAATATATAATTTCTAGAATTTTTTAATATACAAATTTTAAGATAAAATAGATTAAAGAAATGCATTGGATAGTCTATAATAATAAAAGTAGACAAATAATCAGGAACGGAGGGAGTATAACTTTTTTAATTGGCAATTTGTTATGTTTAATTGTAAATTATAAAGGAAACGAAAAAATTGTTAATTTGATAACTTTTTCAATTGGTAATTTGTTATCGGTTTTTATGAATTACGGAGTACCCCGAGTATAAAGGAAACAAAAAAAACTTAATTTCATAATTTTTTTAAAATTTTGAAATACGAAAGGAAACCAAAAAAAATTCTTAATTTGATAATTTTTTTAAATTTTGAAATATGAAGGAAACAAAAAAATTCTTAATTTGATAATTTTTTTAAATTTTGAAAAAAGAAAAAAAAATTGAATTTCATTAATTTTGCATGTACTACATGCGAAATCATTTTTAAAAAAATTGAGAAAAAGTTTGATGTTGATGTTTTTGCATGTAGTACATGCGAAACAAAAAAAACAAAAAAAAAGAAATTGCATGTTATACATGCGAAAGTTGGGGTGAGGAATTTGCTTTTCCAAAACTTCCCACTGAGGGAATTGCTCCCACCTTTATAGAGTATTAAATGCATGGAAAGAAACATGCTATTAGAATAGGTGTGTGGCTCAATGTTTGACTCATTTATTACTGCATAGAACTTTTTTTTAAATACATTTTTCTTTATTAAATTATCAAGAATTATTATCTTACTTATTCTATGTTCATTATAATGTATTTTTCTTTATTGACTTTTATTACATATTTGGTTACAATTTTAAAGGTAATAAAGTATATTTACATTATAAGGTCACTGAATATTTCCAAAATATATTACTCCAAAAAGTAAACAATGTGTCATTAATGCTACATTGGGCCACACACCTAGATTTAGTGATCATTTATGTATATTGTAGCATTTAAGTTTCACAGTTTTTTTGCTAGATTTACTAAATCTTGACCATTAATGCACACCAAACATGCTTGGTAATATTCCATGTACCCCTCATATTAAATTATACACTGTTCACGAAGTAATCGATAATTATACTCTTAGAACCCCACACCAAGTACAATTTTACAATTAATTTAATATATTTCCATTATTAGGTCACTGAATATTTTCCAAAAAATTTGGATTTAGTATAATTAATTTCCGTTTTTCAGAAAAAAACTTTGTGTCATTCTCATAAGTAAGATTTTTTTATATTTCGTATTATAAAAATATATATAAGTTTTATATATTCTTACTTTACTTTTTAAGTACTCTTCAAAATTATATTATAAATTCTTACTATACATATACTCTATTTACTGTAAATAAATTTATAAAATCATATGTTTTTTTGATAGCAAAATATACAATATGATTTTTTAACAAATGTTGAAAGCATAATATATACATGTGTGTGTATGTATATATATATATATATAGGGGTCGGTTCCCGTGAAAATGCACCTTGTGGAGAGAAATGAGAATAAAATCTAGCCGTCGGATCTGATGCATCGTGCGGCTCAGATTGCATCCTGCGCTCAGATTTTGAGATAGTGCATTTTCGAAGGTTTATGATGCATTTCAACGTGATGCATTTTTGAACCATTTTGGTGCATCTAATTTTGATGAAATCTTGACCCTTAGATCTCACAATCTAAAGCACCAGATTCATTCTCATTTCTCTCCTAAGATTGCATTCTCACCAGAACCAAAATCTATATATATATATATATATATATATATATATATATATATATCCACACACACACACACTCGGTTTGGGCCATTAATGCTACATTGGGCCACACACCTAGATTTAGTAATCATTTATCTATATTGTATGCTTCACGTTTTTTTGTTAGATATTCCAAATCTTGATCATTAATTGACACCAAGCATGCTTGGTAATATTCCATGTACTCTCACATTAAATGCTACACTGTAAACGAAGTAATCAATACTCATCATCCTAGAGCCCAACGCCATTTATCGTTTAATAGAGCAATCTTATTAAATATTATATATATATATTTTCGCAATTTATCATAAATATTTTTTCGCAATGTACCAAATATTTATTTTAAATAATTTTTCGCAGTGTATTTATTTTTTCAAACACTACATTTCTACAGAGATACACATATACATGTATATATTAAAATATATAGAGCCGTAAGCTATTTCATGTAGAAATGAATTTCGTATTATAAATATTAACTTATTTATTGAATACAAATAAGTTGTATAAATCATTTTTTATCTACTCTACAAAATCGTATAATAAATTATTATTATTATTCTACAAATTAACTCATATTTTTTTAAAGCTTAACAAATAGATATAGATTATTCACAAATCTTGAACACACCTAGATTTAGTGATCATATATGAATATTGTATGCCACACGTTTTTTTGTTGGATTTACTAAATCTTGACCATTAATGGACAATATACATGCTAGGTAATATTCAATGTACCCCTAACATTAAATGCTATACTGTTCACAAAGTAATCAATACTTATAGCCAAAATCTTAGAACCCCGTGCTATTTATTGTTTAATAGAGCAATCCTCACGCCATTTGATGTTAGATTCATTTTAAACACACCAAGCATGCTTAACACTTCGTATCAATATATGCACAATCACATTAAATGCATTCACTTCTCATGGGGTTTAGGTACAAAAGACATGCTACACTTTTTTTTAAAACATGTGCTACAAAAATCTTTAATGTTTTTATAAATTTATTGTATTTATTGATAAATTAAAACAAATACATATATATACATTATAAATATTTTTTCGCAATGTAATTATTTTTTTCATACACTATAAATATATATATGAAAAATATTTTTATATACAAAAAATATTTTAAAATTTGAAAGCTGCCTACCCTTTTAAAATTTACCTATAGCTTGTAGGCAACAAAGTATATAGTAATTTGAAATTTGCCTACTCATTTAAGATTGTAGGCAACAAACTTATTCAAATTTCAAATAACACCTCCCCACGCGCATGTTTTAAAATCAAAGTGTTAAGCAAAGAGAATAACTTAATTCTTGATTAAGTCATTGTCCCGGCATAAGTCATTTTGTAAATGTATCAATACTGGGTTTTGTTTGAAGGACAAAGATAGACAGTTTTTGGCACCTATTTATTTCGGCCACATTATTTTCATAAAGAAGCTTAAGACTAAAAAAATGTTGTAAGAAATATTACCAATCAGAAGTTGATCATTCAAACATTGTTGACTTTGAAGAATTGGAAATGGCTTCAAGTCGAACATCATCCGGGGGAAATTATTCCGATTTAAAGTTTTCACTTCGGTCTTTTTGAAAAAACCCAAGAGGTTATCATTGCTAGCAGTTTTCAATCTTTGATAATTGTCATGGACAAAAACATTTCGAATGGCATAAACACCACCCTCAATGATTTGCGTTTCAAACTTCTCTTTTTCCTCTCGAGCAAGATGTGCATGAATCCTAGTTCCCTAAAAAAAAGTATACAAAATGAGATTATGAATTTTGGGTTGAAAAAAAACAAATGTAATAACTTGTAGAATACATTATATGCTCATCATGAAAGACGATCTCCATGGAATCTCCACCTTTCGCCCATTTAGGAACGAAGTAAACCCGAATAGCCCTCATCCAACATGAGAATCCAAGAATTCTTATCGCTGTTGAGTTCCGCAATTGGAGTGAACATTGTCATGGACCTGTTTTCGGAATTTTGAGCCATATTTTGGGTATATATGAAACTTACTCCGTATGTTAATACCACTGGTTTGAATGAGAAGAAGTGTAGTTTTGGATGGAAAGAGGTGTATATATATAATTTGGGAAAAGAAAGTAGGTTTAAGCACATTAAATGCTAGGATTTTGTAAATCTAACTATTAAATTGATAAGATGTAAAGCATTGGTATGACACACTTCCACATAAATTATTATTACATTGCTTTATGGAGCTCCGCACCAAGCTGTCAAATGCAACCCAAAAAACTGTCAGCATGCCTGCCCAATCCAGCTCCAATGTCGGCCCAAGTCCAGCAGCAAGGTCCGGCCCAATCAATGGTGGTGAAATTGGCGGGAACACTATTCCTAAGAGCTTCTTACCATTGTATATAGGAGGATTATGTCTTCTCTCGAAAGCAATTTATATTCGATCAAATACTCAATGAAAACACACAGATAAATAAAATTTATTGAGAAAAGAGAGAAAAACATTGTACTTCCTCCAACCCCAATTTGATTACAAATTGTGGGTTACGGAGTAAAATTTTCTACTTTTAAAAATCATTTTATTTACAAATTGATATATTAATACACCTTGGTTCCCATGACATTGGGAACCAATGTCATGGGATGACCCGGGAGCACTCCGGTGCCCCGTTCGTAAAATTGACGGTTCCTACCCCCCTAACCCCCCGGTAAACCCCCCCCCCTCCCCGCTCCGCCCCGAACAAACCACCCCGCCCCCTTCAATTGCACCCCACAAGTCGATTTTGATTTTGGAGTCAAAATCGACTTGTGGGGTGCAATTGAAGGGTTTGTGGTTGTTTGTTCGGGGCGGGGCAGAGAGAGGGGGTTTACCGGGGGTAGGAACCGTCAATTTTACGAACGGAGCACCGGAGCGCCCCCGGGTCATCTTATGACATTGGTTCCCAATGTCATGGGAACCTTGCCCATATTAATAAGATATAAAAATGGTATATTAAAAAATTACGTCAAAAGTTCTACAAAATAAGAGATGACAAGAATATTTTTTTATCAAATAACTAATGAAATTACGTAAACAAACAAAATTATTAAAAGAAGACACAAAAAATTGTAATCTATTTAAGGACGAAGAAACTAATATAATTCGGGACGGATGAGTAAAATTATAAAGATACTCCTCCGTAATTGTGAAAGGGAAAGAATAGAGTACGGAACATGTTTTTAGTATTTTGATGTCCGACATGTGATTTACGGAGTACTTGAGACAATTTTGGATCGAGGGAAATAAAAAGTAAAGCCCACATAAAAAATGAAGCCCACATAAAAAGACAATATTTGGGTTGTTGTAGGGAAAATTGTTCCATATAAAAGATTCAAATTTTGGAGAGACGTAAAAAGACAAAAACAGACAAAACTGAGGCCCAATAAAAAGTGTAAAAAATGCAGAACAAGAACAAGACAAAAAAAAACAAGAAATATAACACGTCAAAATAAACTCTAGAATTTTATAATAGAGTTCTAATAAATTATGATTCTCATTTTAATTTAAATTAAAAAAAGAAACATCAATGTTAAAAATAAGTGATTATCAAATTAACTTTTTATGGTCAAATTAAACTCGAATTGAAGGTCTCGATGAGACGTATTCAATGACTCCGTGCGCGAACTTGAGTTACAAAAGTTAGTGACTTGACTGTCCTAATAACGAAAAGATAATTAAGTAAAAAAAATAAAATGCGAGTATATTGTAGAGATAATATTATATATCCAATTTTAAATCGTTGCATATGTCTCGTGAAAAGGTGATCAAAGACGTATTGTTTGACAAGATAAGAATTATGGACAAAATAGTTCCAGTGCCCCTGTGGGTTGGACAATTGGCATCGATGTCTCTGATTTCAAAATTTATTTTTAATTTTTCGTGATTTCAAAATGTTAGACCTACATCTATCTTCTCTGATCTTTTTGTAACAATTTTTCAGTGAATAGGAAGCATTGACACATACTACCTCCGTCCCAGAGTATTTGTCTACTTTCATTTTTACACACCATCCAATACATTTTTTTAATCCATTTTATCTTGTAATTTGTATATTAAAAAATTATAGAAATTATATATTAATAATCTATATGTTAAGACAAATCAAACAAGATCACACATGACTATATTTAGGCTTACACATTGAGAGAATTTGATGAGTCAAAGTGCTTAGATAAACAGTTTCAAAAGTCAAAACTGGATGAATACTCTGGGACGGAGGGAGTAATTTTTAAATCATAAATGTGCACTCGTGCTCATTTCTCGTCTTTCATTTATTATTTGGGATTTATTTATCTCTTTGTTTCATTTTCTAGAATTTTTTTTAAAAATCTGTTTTCAATTTTTTCATAGTCGTTTTTAAACTAAAAAAAAAAAAGAGAAAGACTTAGCGCTACACGTGGCCACCGAGTCCTTTATTACATGTCACGCCCGATGCGGAACAATTCGTTCAAGGGGCCGCCGCTGAGTCAACGCGGCTCATCTCTTCTCTCCTCTAGCTCCTCGTTCACTCCGGTCTTCCATTTCCTGGCTGAGAAACACAGAAATCCAATATCTGTTCCGGTTGATTGCTGCTCCGAATTCTGTTCTATCACCGGCAATCTTAAATGGCGGTCAGTGCATTTCTCCGATCACCTCCTACTTTGCTCTCTTCCGTCTACGTAGTTACATTCATCTCTTTACATGTTTTGTGTTCGTTTTTTCTGGATTCAATGCCATTGGCTGCTTTTCCAATGCTTCGTTCTTCGAGTGCATATATAGATTTCAGATGGTCTTGTGCATCTGTGAATTTCTTAATTTGTTGAGATTTGGCAATGCTGGTACCGTTTTTTATTGTCGTTTGATTTCTTCAATTGAAATTGCTCTGCTGTAAACATGCTAATAGGAGATCTCTGTACTAAAAACAATCGAGTATATGGATAAGCAGTTTATGGAAGTGTGAAGGAGACCATTTGGCAAGAGTTCATAGATGTTCACTGTAAATGGGGATTTGTCTACCTCATAGTCAATTTGTCATTCATGATAAGATTCACCATTTTTTGGCTTTGGTATATACTGGAATAAAACAAAAAGGCTCTTTAAGTTGTATGTACGTTTTTTTAATAGTGAAGTAGCAGTTAGTCAATGCAATTTCAACGCTCATCATGGGTCATCTGAAACAGTTGTTCTATGTTTTAAACATAGAGGTCAGGTTGCATGCATCCAACCACCCTTACCCAGTTACCCTTCAATGGGCTTTGCCTTTGATGCATTAGGGTAATGTTGTTGTTGTAACTTTTACTATGTACAAAAAAATAATGGGTTGCTGAACCTCCAGAGCAATATCAATTTGTGATGGTCTCTTCTGTATTGTCTGCATCAAGGTTTTGTGTCAAATAAGCTTGTTATGACTGAGTAACGATTAAATCGTGATGATCATTACTACTACATTGTATGAATAATCACCATTAAACAAATATTAGGATGCCCAATCACATCCTATATACTCCGTAGAATAGAAGTATAATATGGAGTGTTTTATACAAGTATATTGTAAGTGTATCGTAACAGGTTTATTTAATTGAGTTGGAAATGTGTTTGTAATTTTTAATGCTTAGTACAAAAAACATATCATTAAGTTGCTGAATGTAGAGCTGTAAGCAACAACAAAATATAGGGAAAACCATAGACCATTATGTTAGGTGGCCCAGTTTCATCTCAGTATGAGATGATGCCCAAGTATGTGCACGCATCAAGGAAGTTGCCTCCATTAGGTAGCGTGATGCCCAGGTACCCAGCCTATTGAGTTTCATGCGCTTAGCCATGCCAATAACTTAACATAAACTAGTTTCAATCACATGGAGCACCTGACCCCAATGATCGTTGAATTCAAATTTGATGTTTTTTATTATAAAGGAAATGGATCGCATGCACAAGTTATGAGATTCTTGTGTATAAAATGTTTGTTTTAAAATTCATATGGCTTTAACATGATTATCGTGAAGGAATGCCAGAAAAGTATGAATCCACCGGTAACCTTCATAGATTTCACATGATTATCGTGAAGGAATGCCAGAAAAGTTTGCCTTCTTTGAATTAAACATTCATTGTCAGTTTAGTTACAAAGCAAATATGCCAAAATTAAACTTTACTTTTTATGAAGTTTACGGAAAACTGGAATTGACTGTAGGATAGAATAAAGAAAAAGGAATCCATACCAAAAAAGATTATGTAGCACTCAAGCACCTGAGATGGCTATGAGATAATCTTCAAATAGATATCAGACTCCTAAATTAGTGTGATTATTTAGTCTTTCTTTGTCTAGGAGTAGGCAACTTTAGGAGAAAACTTTCTTGATTGAAATTTGTTTGGACAACTGGAAATGTTCATTTTCTTCTCTCTAACGACTTTGATTGAAATTTGTTTGGACAACTGGAAATGTTCATTTTCTTCTCTCTAACGACTTCTCCTGGTCAGGTTATTTTCTATGTTATTTTGTGTTAATCTGCTCTCAAATTTGTTTTCCCACACCCTCATTCCAACTGAAAGGGTCTTTTCGTCATACAAACTAGTGCCAACATATCCTTGGAAAAGGTTGTCAAGTTCCCCCCCCCCCCCAAATCCATCCACCCACCCACACCTGAGTACCACTACTAACCATTATAAATTTATGAACCCGATTATGAATTCGCGATGTGAGCATAACTTGCCAACTTTATGTCAACACAAGATAAATAAAACATGCTCATATGAAGCAGGTAAAAACTGTTAAAGTTTGTAATATTTCACTGCGCGCATCTGAGCGAGACATCAAGGAGTTCTTTTCTTTCTCTGGTGACATTGAATATGTTGACATGCAGAGGTTAGCACTGACTTCATTTTACTATTTTCATTGAATGAAAATTCTACCCGGGGTAATATACAATAAAGTGCACAACTGCCTATATGCATATTAACACATCTTGTCTCATCTATTTGTAGCG